CCAGCGGGGCCAGAACTCCAGAAGCCCCCCCACTCTTGCCCCCCCTCAAGCACCAAGAAGACAGAGCATCCCTGCCCCAGACAGAGTGTTCCATCTATACCTTGTGGCTAAGAGCCACTGATGGACTTTTGCTCCACATTTATCCAGTCCCCTCTTGAAGCTGTCTGTGCTTGTAGCTGACACCACTTCCTGCAGCAGTGAATTCCTCGAGTTCATTACTCTTGGGTGAAGGAGTACTTCACCCAAATCAGGCAAGCAGCTCTAACCAGATATGTTACATGTGGGTCAATCAGCTGCAAGAATTTCCGTCAGCAAACTCTGTGAACAGGACTTGATGGAAACCAAGTGTCAGCAAGCTGCCATTCTGTTTTCTGTGACCTCTGTGTACATATCCTTTCCCTGTTGCACCCGGCTTGGTTTCTATCATCCTGCTCCTGCGTTGGAATGCAAAAGATAACTGCTGGAGGTTGTGTGGGGGAGAAGATGCTGTAATGCTTGCCTATTGCTTTTCTCATGAGTACTGCACCTGTGTTTTGTCTGATGTTCTGCCTGGTTCCCATGGACTGGGCGCGCAACCGTTTCATTAGCCCGCCAGCGGGAAAGCTATTCATTGGATCTGTATCTGTTTGAAGTTCCTTTATTATGCTTGACCTAACTGTGTATCCCCAGTTCTAACAAAGAACGTGTTTGAGTATGTCTTCAACGCTTTGAAATAAATTTTGCTTTTCTTGAAAACGTGGATTTATTCTCGATGCTTGGGGATCCAACATATTGTTAGAACTCCCTTTCTCCTATCGTTCCGAATCTGGCAAGATCATGAGCGGAATTGAGGGAAATCTACCTAACACGGAGGGGGACTCGGGATCGGTCCCACAAACCTCCGCGTCTTTGGTGTTCACGACTGCAGCCTCGATGGAGGGTGCCGTGGGGGGAGCGATTCCCCGCCTGCCTGCACATCTGTCTTGGCCGCCTCCGACCCCTTCGCAATGGGGTCCGCGGAAGACTCACCAGCAGGATGATTGGACTATGTACAACACCCAAGGCACCCGTGAGGTGTACTCCCGTCGGGGGAGCGGATTACGTGAGAGTCTGTTTGACAAGGGATTGTTCCCGGAACCTGGGTCTACCTCGGAGAAGGGGAGCCCCAAGCAGGACCTCGAGGAGTGGATGTTCGAGCCGTCGGGACCGAGTGGTCACGCAGAAGATGAGGAGGGCACCGGAGCCTTCCAAACGGAAGAGGACTATGACCCACCCCCGGACTACCGCCCTCGGGACCCAATCCCGGAGGAAACTACCGGAGAACGACTAGCAGAACTGGAAGACTCGGTGAGAGACTTGTTGCGGGCATTCCAGGATGTGATGGAAGGTCTGCCGGGAATGATGGACGTTAGAATGGCTAATTTCCTTGACGCACACGCCGCGCAGCAACAAGTTGCTCCTGCACCGGGATTGCCCACGCCTCCAGGTGCAGCCTGACCAAGGCAGTGTACACCATCCAGGCATATCATTTCAGGTTTCAGTTGGGAGAATTAACAAAGGCAGGTTACCAGTTGACCCGCTCTTGTGCCTTCAAGCAACAGCTTGAACGACGAAAACCACCAGGCAAAGCTGTTCAAAGCATGGAGAAACACACCACGGGCTAATGTCTGCGTGTCAGTCTCCGTTAGTGGCACAGGAGCTAGTTGAAAAGTGGGTAGCCCAAATCAGCAGAGATTTTGGTAAGGGGGGGGGGGGGAAAGGATCACAGAAAATGTTTCCAAGGTTTGCTTTTGTATACACTCAGAATTCATAAGGACATCAGAAGAGCCTTACTGGATCAGACCAGTGGTCTATCTAGTCCAGCATCCTGCCTCACACAATGGCCAACTAGTTCCTCTGGAGGGCCAACAACAGGGCAGAGAGACCAATGCCTTCATAAGAATATCAGAAGAGCCCTGTTGGATCAGACCAGTGAGGGTCCATCTAGTCCAGCATCCTGTCTCACACAGGGGCCAGCCAGTTCCTCTGGAGGTCCAACCACAGGGCATGGAGGCCGAGGCCTACATAAGAACATCAGAAGAGCCCTGCTGGATCAGTCCATCTAGTCCAGCATCGTGTCTCACACAGTGGCCGACTAGTTCCTCTGGAGGGTCAACAACAGGGCATAGAAGCCGAGGCCTTCTCCTGATGTTGCCTCTGGGCTGTGGAATTCAGGGGCTTAGTTCCTCCGAATGAGGAGGTTCCCCTCAGTCACCATGGCTAGTAGCCAGCGATAGACTTCTCCTCCATGAATCTATCTAATCCCCTTTTAAAGCTGTTTATTCCGGTGGCCAACACTACATCCTCTGGCAGCGAATCCCACATTTTAATTGCTCTCTAGAAGCGTGTTTTAATAACATTTGTTGTGATAGCTTTTTGTAGCTCCATAATCCAAAGCAGACGTATCCCTAAGAAATTACCTCATGGGATATGAGAGCTGAGAAGGGATGTATCGCCACAGAACGTCTGTGCGGTGTGATAAGCACAGTTTATCCCAGATCTTCAGTTTATCCAGGGAGGATGGAGGAAAGAGATCGGAGGTGGAGATGGCTGCACTAAAATGTGAGGTTCAGTAGGACGAGCGGAGCCTTCCGTCCCCATGGCTTTGATTTCTGGTTCTAGAATGATGGATCCTTTCCCAAGGGAGTACATTCAAGCTGCAACCGCCCTCCCTCTAAATCTCTGTCCCCTGCTAGAATGCTAAAAGGGTTTTAAGAGTATGTGTTGGAATCTTCTTATGTGGTATGTGTGACTATCAGACCTATGCAGAGTTTGTATTGAAGTGCAGAATTCAGCACAGAGGAGAAGGAGGAGGAGATTGGATTTGTACCCCGCCCTTCACTCAGAGTCTCAGAGCGGCTTACGATCTCCTTTCCCTTCCCCTCCCCACAACAGACACCCTGTGAGGTTGGTGGGGCTGAGAGAGCTCTTTTGAGGACTGCTCCGGAGAGAAGAGCGCCTAGTGAACTTGTGACTGACCCAAGGTCACACCAGCAGCTGCATGTGGAGGAGTGGGGAATCAAACCCGGTTCTCCCAGATTAGAGTCCGCGCTCTTAACCACTACACCAAACTGTCCCGAAGCGGAGTTGTTTTTTTTAAAAAAACCGTGTCTGTGCCTTAAGACTGAAAGAAGGTATACAGGTATGAAAGACAAAATAAAAAGGCATACAGGTATGTGAACAAAACCTCATGAAAACTCAGGAAGGGGGAAAGCTAAACAAGATGGCATCCGCACGATGCTTCGTCATGTGGATGTAGCGGTTAGAGTGACTGACAAGGAACTGGGAGACACGAGTTCGAATCTTCACTTTGTCACGGACACTGGCTGAGTGATCTCGGGCCAGTCATATACACCCTCACAGGGCTGAGGATAAAATGGAGAAGAGGGTGATGTCAGCTGCTTTGGGTCGCCGTTGGGGAGAAGAGGAGGGGTAAAGGTAAAGGTAAAGGTTCCCTTGCTCGAAAGCCAGTCGAGTCCGACTCTAGGGTTGCGGTGCTCATCTCCGTTTCAAAGCCGAAGAGCCAGCGCTGTCCGAAGACATTTCCGTGGTCATGTGGCCGGCATGACTAAACACCAAGGTGCACGGAACGCTGTGACCTTCCCACCAAAGTGGTACCTATTTATCTACTTGCAATTTCTTGCTTTCGAACGGCTAGGTTGGCAGGAGCTGGAACTAGAGACGGGAGCTCACTCCGTCTTGCGGCACACTCGGGTCTCGAACTGCTGAACTACTGACCTTCCACAGCCTGCAGTTCAGCGTCTTAACCACTTGAGGGGTACAAATGTAGTAAAATAAATGAATAGTTCTGTCAGGGATCGCTTTGGGACGCCTGGCTCTGAACAGGTTTGCTTGGGAGGGCCCCGTAACGGTCCAGAAATGATAGAAGGCCGGTGGTAGTGGGTCAGCAAGACCAGACAAATCCGGGGCTCACCTCAGCAGGGCTGGGCAAGGTCAGCAATTGGGTACGTTGCCTCTGATTAGCCCAAGCTCTATGTGAGAAGTCAGGCGGCACCACTGTCCCCTCAAATGTGGGCCCCAATAAGTGGTGCAGGCCCTGGCACCGGCTCAATCCTGCCACCTTCTAGCCCTGGCTGTGACTGCCTTCGTGCTCCTTCCCCCTCCCTGTGACTGACAGAAATTGTATAGAACAAGGAAATATGGGTAAGAGCTCAGAACACAAAAATCACAGAGTCCTGGCACAGCGACTTCCAAATGGAATCTTGTGTCTTAATGCAGAAAACACAGAGGGCCCAAACAGGGCGACAGACGTGCTTCCTTTGCCACTTCCGTTTTTGTGACAGCGATGCCACCGTTCCCGTTGAAAACCGGGGCCGAGAATCCTAGCTGCTGGCGCAGAGAGATTGTAGCAGTGTTCCCTCTGAGCTGAGTGAGTGCTGGCGCAAAGAGATTGTAGCAGTGTTCCCTCTGAGCTGAGTGAGTGTGAGCAAGCTCACAGTTTTTTAGCCTCCGGCTCACACGTTTTTGTCTTAGCTCAGGAAGGGACGGCTCCACAGAAAAGTAATTGATGCAGCAGCCAAATTGCCTGCTCACAACTTCACTGCCGGTAGCTCAGAAAGTAGAGTTTTTGCTCACAGGACTCCAGGGCTTAGAGGGAGCATTGGACTGTAGTATTACATTTTAGCAGAATCATGACACCCAATTTTATTTGTGGGTTGTTTTTTTGTTATTGTTTC